TGTTGAGCGAAGCAGCTACAAGGCTCCCGCAAAGACCACGCGCATGAGGCTTCAGCGCGAAATCATGGCGAGTCGACCATTCATTGTGGCACTGGTTCCGCTTGGTCTGCTGCTCATAGTAGGTACCTCCGCAGCTTACCCAGCATCTCGCCAAGCCAGCACGTCGCCTTCAGCGGCGAACAGCGATGCAGTTTCGTGGAAGGATTATCACCTGCCTTACGAACCGCGTCGCTCCCTCGAGAGTGTGCATGAACGAGTTTCTGAACCCCTCGTTTTCTACGCAGAGGAGAACGGGCCATCTGATGCAAGTTCGCACTCCCCTCGTCGCTCTACAATCAGTATCACTGGTACACGCCACCCTGCTGGTAGTAACCACCGCGCTGGTAACCGCCCCACTGGCGATGCGGCGCCATTTCGTCGGAGTGTCGCGGAATTTCGCATCGCCAGCGAAAAGCGACGTGGAGATCCACTCTCGAGGCAATGGTGACCCTCTCAGCGAGGCTCCAACCTTAATCACCATCACGCCCGCGGCGCCAGTGGCAGTGGCAGCATAGATAATAGCGGAGTGTTTGGCATGACGACGTATCGCGAAGATGGCGCAGTTAACAGCCACAGCCCGTTGAACGCGGCTTTTCACATGGCGTCAGAGGAGGACGTGATCATTCACGGCGGAAACCGCCGCGGCGTAAGTGGTACCGTCAATGTCGACGGGCGTCCTCACATGGCGTCAGAGGAGGACTGATTATTCACGGGACGAATGGCGCTGCTGCTTACAGGGAGAATCGCGGAGTGAATCGTAGCATGAACCGCGGAGTAATTCACGGCGGTAACCGCGGCGTGAGTGGCGGAGATTGAATCTCGCAGGGCGTCCTCACATGGCATCAGCCGAAGACGTGATTATTCACACGGGAAACGGCGTTGATAACAGAGAGAATCGCGGCGGTAATTACGGCAGTAACCGCGGCGAGATTGGCGTCGCTAACCTCGCAGGGCGCCCTCATATGGCATCAGCCGAAGACGTTATTCTTCACACGAGGAGTGTCACATCCCTGATTTACACACACATGCTACTTGTTACAAACATGCCACGCACATGCTGCACAGTCCGTAACACACATCAGAGCTCACTCCACATAGCAGCACGCCATGGGCACACAGAAGTCAAGAGCGACTGCAGATGCTGCTGCCTATGCATGCAGCACTCAAACCACTCTCGCTCTGCTGCCCCCTCTGCTACTATCCCCTCTGCTACTACTCCCTCTGCTGCTCTGCCAGCACCACCAGGGGTATTCTCAATGGTTTGAATGTGTGAAGCACTGGGGTTGTCCTGCAAGCCTCTGGCCTTAAGGTCTACATTTTCCAAACTTCCCAACTGGACAGTGCATACGCGAGTTTTCCCCCACCTGCTGCTGCCACTTCTGCCGCCAACACTGGTACCCCCACCGCTGCTGCTGCTGCTGCTGCTGCTGCTGCTGCTGCCCGCACTAACAATCCTGCTTGTAGTCGTGTCTTGAGTGGTCCTGTGTGAAGTGCTATTGTTTATCCCCAGGCTGGCACTGCGGCTTGGGAAGGTGCGAGTGACGACCGTTCTGACAGAGGTTTCCTGGCTGTTGTCTGCTTGTGTGGCGCCCGCACCGCTGCTGCTGGTGGTTGTGCTTTGGATGACACATGTGGTGCACGTGGGAACTGTTCTTTGCAGTAACTGGAGGGGAAAAACATGGGGGGGAGGGTGGTGGGGGCAAGGGAGATGGGGGATATGAAACAAAATGAGGCAGCAAGGAGAAGACAGGCGAAGTGAGGCAGGAAGACAGGCGAAGTGAGGCAGGATGAAGGGGGATAAGGAGAAAGCAAAACGGAAGGTGAATGCCAGCAGTAAGCAGAGGGAGTGAAGGAGGGAGAGCAGGAATTGGTGGGGGAACCAGCAGTGTGGTGACAGCAGTGCTGGTCAGAGCACATACGTTGGGATGAAGGCAATAGGAGGAAAGCACAAGCAATCAGAAAGCAAGCACAAGAGTGTGGAAATTCCACCTGCTTGAGCATCCAGAGGCAATAGCTCAACCGCAGCTCTTCTCCTGCTCGAAGCTCCTCCTCTGTTGCACTGCAGCTGCTGCCACTGCAACCGCTACTGCCAGCAGCATCAGCATCAGCAGCAGCAGTAGCAGAAGCAGTGGCGTCATACGACTTGCTTACATCCCCACCTGCACCGTCCCTCACCTCCCTCACATGGCGTCTGTCCCCCTCCTCGCCACCCATCACAACCTCTCTAACCTCCCTCTCTATCACATCACAGTGTGTCATCGCCCCACCCTGAACCTCCTTCCATGTATCCCCTCCATCCTTCCTCCCTCGTTTCCCCTCTCCCGTCTTCTCCCTCTCCTCTCCCTTCCCTCTCCCATCATCGATCCATTCCCCCTTCCTTTCCCCTTCTCTTTCAGCAACCACCAGTTTATCTCCTGCTCCTCCTCTGCTATTCCCACACGCCTGATTCTTCTGCTGCTGTAGCACCAGCAGGAGGTGATGCGGCGAGAGCCAATCAGGCGGCGACAGGTGGCAGCACCAGAAGAGCGCGAGGAAGCGACGGTGGATCCAGAGAGCCTGCGGGATGGTTCAGGGTTTAGGGGACAAGAACATGCGGATGGAGACAAGAACATGCGGATGGAGACAAGAACATGCGGATGGAGACAAGAACATGGGGATGGAGGCAAGAACATGGGGATGGAGACAAGAACATGGGGATGGAGGCAAGAACATGCGGATGGAGACAAGAACATGCGGATGGAGACAAGAACATGCGGATGGAGACAAGAACATGCGGATGGGGACAAGAACATGCGGATGGGGACAAGAACATGCGGATGGAGACAAGAACATGCGGATGGGGACAAGAACATGCGGATGGAGGGCACAAGAGCATAGGGAAGAGCAACGACGACCAGCAGGCAAAGAATGCACGGTACGAAGTGAATTCAAGGGAAAATTTAACACAAAAAAGAGATCACTGAGAAATGGACAGCACAGCTCGTAACTTTGTTCCCTTCCTGTTCCAATTCACGTGCACCTGACGTGCACCTATAAGATCCTGAATCCACACTTTCTCAATGCGCGCACCTCCCTGTTTGGATACCGGTGGATAAGTGGAAGGAGGAAGCGCCACTCTTCCTGTGCCACAGCAGGAGAATATGGGGAATAGTGGGATTGTGCAAGGTGGGGGTTTGGGGAAGGAAAACAGTGTGGGGAGGGGGGATTGATGTAGAGGAAAACGCAGCCAAGTGCAAGTAGGGAAGCTTAGATACAGCCAGCTTGAGAACCAACAAAGCAGTGGATATTGGTACTAGTGCAGGTTATACGTATTTGTACGTACCAGCCAGATTTGGGACAGCAGGGATCGTGAGACGGCTGACTGTACTGGCGATGCAGCTGACTGTGTGTGAGTGTATGCTGACTGTGCGTGAGTCACGGTACGTGCTAGTGGCGATGGTGATGGTGGTACGGGTGGTGCTACGGGGACTGATGCTGATGCTGATGCTGATGTTGACGGTGAATGCACACTGCTGCCGATGGTGCTGATGTTGGCGCTGGTACTGGTGCTGGTGGTAGTCACAGCGGATCCAGCATTGGTGCAGGCGGTGCTACTCGTGTGAAAAGACGGAGGAGGAGGAGGAGGAGGAGGAGGAAAAGGAGGAGGAGAATGTAGCTCGCAACAATGCTGAAACAAGCTCCTGCATAATAGGAACGGGTTCGGATGGGTTGAAATGGAAGCGGGAACGAAGGACGGGAAGTGGCGGAGATGGTAGGAGGTGGGGAATGGGGGAAGGCTGGGAAGAGGAAGAGCGAGGGAGCGTTTTGTACAGGCAGGAATCGGTTGGGTGAGATGTAAAACACACGCATCTGAATGATTTGAGACCTTTTTGTAGCGCGCCCATAAAGAACTGGTGGGTGTGAGCAAGCTGTGCTTGAAATCCATTCATACCACATGGTTGGTAGTACACAAAAACCGGCCTGGTGGCTGGTGGTACGAGGCCCAAGTAACCGACCCCATTCCTTCATCTCCTCCCCGCACCATCGCCTACCTGGTGGCACCTCCTCGAGTAACCTGTTTTCCTTGTTTGGTGATCCCCCCGTCCCTCTCACACCCCCGTCCCTCTCACCCCCTCGACCCTCTCGCCCCCTCAAACCCTCCATTCTCCATGCCGAGTTACTCTGCGGTAGTGGTAGAGACAATTGTCCTCCACACCTCGTGCTGCCCACTCCGTCGTGCTGCCAAGCTGCTGCTGCCACTGGGAGTCAGAGAGAGGATGGTGAGCGGAAGAGAGGAGAGGATGTCATTTGAGTCGACTTATGACACAACTGCTCACTCCCTGTTGCTGCTGAGCTGCTGCTGCCACTGGGAACCAGAAAGAGGGTGGTGAGCAGAAGAGAGGAAGGGGAGACGAAAAAAGGGGGGGGGAAGCGGAATACGGGAGGGGGAGATTAGCGGGAGGGACAAAAAAGGGGACAAAGGGAACAGAGGATAGGGAGAGGAGTGGGAGAGGACGGGGAGAGGGGGATGAGGGGAGGGGGAGAGGAGGGAGAGATGAGGGGGAGAGGAATTGGAGTGAAGGGACAGGGACGGGAGAAAGGAAAGGGAGACGGGGGGAGGAGAGAGATAGGCCTGAGAGAAGAGGGAAAGAAAGAAAGAAGGGAGGGTGAGCGGGGGAAGAGTCAGGAGAGGGAGGAGGGGAACAGTCAAGGGGGAGAACAGACATGGAACAGTCAAGGAGGAGAACAGTCAAGGGCGAAAAGGAACGAACATAGAAAAAAACATACGGTAGGGAGTGTTGGGAGAGGGGGGGGTGGGGGTGGGGGAGGGGAGGGAGGGTAATGGGGGAGGAGGGGCGTTAAGAGGAAGAGAAGCCACAAAACCCACTGATTGCGTGCCCGCACTCCCAAGTAATCTACCCACATCCCGTTGTAAGCACACATACCATGTCTGGCGTCATGAGAGGGATTAAGGAGCAGCGATGGGACCAAGGGCGGTAGCCCAGGGGAAAGCGCTGCAAGGGGCAGGGAAAGGGGAATTAGGGTTAGGGGGGGGGAGGGGGAGGGGGGTTTTGGACAGGGGCGAAGATGGGGGAGTAGAGGGTGGGTGGTAGGGGAGGAGAGAGGAGGAGAGAGGGAGTGAGAGAAGGAATGGAATGGGAAACGGGTGGGTGGAGGAAAAGCAGTTGAGAGAATAAACGGTTCCATTTTGTTGCTTGCACAAGGAGTGAAAGAGAGTGGGGACGATAAGACACGAATACAGGTTGATTGTAGCCCATTGATGTGTGTGTGTATGTGTGCAAAGGCGTGTGTGTATGTGTGTCTGTGTGAGAAAGTGCATGCGTGTGTTCGTCGCATGAATACCTGTGCAATGGTATAATGGAAGGCAAGCTCTTCGTTTAACAGCTTCAACAGCTTTGGAGGAAGTGGAGAGGACGTGAGGGGCGAGGGAAGAGGAGGAAGAGGAGGAGGAGGAGGAGGAGGAGGAGGAGGAGGAGGAGGAGGAGGAGGAGGAGGAGGAGGAGGAGGAGGAGGAGGAGGAGGAGGAGGAGGAGGAGGAGGAGGAGGAGGAGGAAGAAAAGTAGGACGAAGAGGAGGAAGAGGAGGAGGAGGAGAGGAGGAGGAGGAGGAGGAGGAGGAGGAGGAGGAGGAGGAGGAGGAGGAGGAGGAGGAGGAGGAGGAGGAGGAGGAGGAGGACGAGGAGGAGGAGGAGGAGGACGAGGAGGAGGAGGAGGAGGAAAAGGAATAGGAGGACGACGAGGAATAGGAGAAGGAGGAGGAGGATGAGACAGTAGATTGGGTGACAGCTTGCTTATTCGACCACTCCTGCTCCTCTTGCTGCTGCTGCTGCTGCTGCTGCTGCTGCTGCTGCTGCTGCCGCTGCCAATGTTGCAAGAGGTAAAGCCGAGCCAAGTGGCCAATCACAAAGCGACTGCAACCCAAACGAAGTTAATGAAAGGAAAGGGGGGAAACACGGCAATTGGAGGGTGTGTGTGTGTGTGTGTGTGTGTGTGTGTGTGTGTGTGTGTGCGTGTGTGTGTGTATGTGTGTGTGTGTGTGTGTGTGTGTATGTGTGTGTGTGTGTGTGTATGTGTGTTTGTGTGTGGGGGTGCTGAGGGTCCGACCAAGAAAAACCACATTTGACTTGGTGGAAACAAGCGTCCTTCCAAATTTCACTTACCGGTGAGCCCACACACCTGTGCTCTCCGCAAAAAGAAAAAAAGCACGGTTTTACCCTAAAAACCATAATTGTCCTGAAAAACGCTTGGGTGCCAACAGACTTGTTTCTCTTATATGCACTTACCGGTGAGCCCACGCGTCTGTGCTCTTTCCAAAGAACGAGAGCACGAGTCCAGTAAGTGCCAGCTCAGCCAGTAACCGAGCCTCATCATCAGGGTCGGGAAGTGCTCCCGCAGGCTTGGAAAATGCTCCGACGGAGGAATCAGAATGAGGGGCCTTGTGAGGGGAAGAATGTGTGGAGTGTGTGTGAGAGTGAGATGGAGAGCGTGTGGGGATGCTGCTAGGCACGTGCGAGATTGTGGGGGTCAGTTCTGGGCTGGATTGGTGAGGCCATGTGTGGTTGAAGGGTTGAGCCGAGGAATAAGGCGAGGGCGAATGGGCATAAGAAGGAAACAGCCGATCTCTCCTGCTTCGGCAAGAACACAGAGAAACAGAAGGAGAATGGGAAATAAGGAGGGAGGGAGGGAGGGAGGGAGGGAGGGAGGGAGGGAGGGAGGGAGGGAGGGAGGGAGGGAGGGAGGGAGGGAGGGAGGGAGGGACGACAGAGGCAGACAGAATACATGAGGAGGCTGTTCTAGAGATCAGTGTTCCTTGCATGCAAGATTGCAGTGCAGGAACAGAAAGGTAAACAGCCTTTTCTGAATATACTCCCTATTTGCTCCCTCCCTCCCCTTAAAATCCCTCACCTCTCCCACAACCCAACCAACCCCTTTCAACCCTTCCAAACCTCTCAACCCTTTTCCCCACCACCATCACCGTTTCACCCCTCTTAACCCCAGCTCCATCCGCCCTCTTTCCCATCAGCATTCGTCTCTGCCATGCTGTCACATGACACGCGCACATTCACCCACCTCAACTGCCATGCCTTGACATCACGTGCACACACACCCACCCCACATGACATGTCCGCACATTCACCCACCTCACATGCCATGCCTTGACATCACGTGCACATTCACCCACCTCACGTGCCATGCCGTGCTGTGCTCGCCATTCACCAGCACCAGCGCCCGGGTCACCAGATCTACCTCCTCCTCTCGCTCCTCATCCTCTCCTTCCCCCTTCTCCTCCTTTTCTCCTCCTCCTCTGAGATTTTCCACCTGATCGCCCCGCTTCCCTCTCATTCCCTGCAGCCGCTCCGAAGCAGCAGCGAATAGCGGGGGGACAGCTGGCATGGCAATGGCGAGCTTGTGGTCTTGGAGGTAGAAGGAAGGGGAGGAGGGGGAGGAGGGGGAGGAGGGGGGTGTGGAGGAGCCTAAGGGACGTGACAACTTCTCCCCTCCGTCCACCTTTTCCTCTGTCAGGCTGACTGGCTTCTTCCCACTGCTGCATGGCTCTGGCAAGGCAGGCAGGATGGCATATTCATCGCTGGGGAAAGGAGAAGAGCAGGGGGAGTTGAGGGGGGGATGGATTCAGGGAGATGCGACGTATGGATGTGAGGGGTGAGAGAGTGAGAATGCAAGGAGGAGCAGAAGGATAAAGAACTGAAAGGGGTACTTGCGGGAGGAAAGGAAGGGGGAATCCGGTGACTTGTACACTTTTTAAGGAGGGTGAGGAATAGAAGAAGCTAGTTACTGGCAGCAGGGGATCAGGAAGAAATGAAAAACGTTTTCCTTCCTGTCTGATTATCAGCGGTTTGTTACTAGTCCGCGAAATTCACCCATTCAGCCGTCTGGTCAGCTCATCCGTCCGTCAGTCAGCCCATTGGTCCGTCAGTCAGTCAGTCGGTCCGTCAGTCCCTGAGCGCGACAGACGAGCAACTAAAAGCCAAGATTCACCAGCAACGAGCCACGAGCGTCGCACATCTGAGGGTCGGATCGAAGCACTGACTGCAGTTCCCGCAGAAGCGCGGCTCCCTCGGCCACCAGTTTCGCATTGCGAGTGCTAACGCGCGAATCGGCAGGCGCGGAGGAATCCGCGTTGTGAGTCGACTCGGCTTCCGTTATGCGCGCGGGGTCCCGCGCAGTTGTTCCCATGCTTGCACCTGCTGTCAGAGCAAAGACCAGCGGAAAGTGCGCACAGGTGGATTCCTGACACTCGTGAAGATTAGAGGGAAAATTTGGACTATAGCCTAAGTAATGTGCTTCATGACAGGCAAAAACGGAATTTGAGCCAGATATAAGTAGCTCTGTTACACAACATTCCTCGCCATTTAGCATTGATCTCAATACAAGCTAATTTGAGGATGAAAGGGACTCTGTAAATTTACGGTTAATGATTAACTCAGATTAAACATGTGCAATAATGAGGTGTTCCGGAAAGTTCTGAGCGTCAGATTACCTATCAGCCACTCATTAGTGGTGGAATTTCAGCTTTGGAAATTGAGTTAGCTGCAGCTGTTCTCCACTTCATTCAACTTGACTAATAATCTCAAACAATTGCTTACACCTCACCATGTAAGGAATTACAATTCCTTACTGTACTCGCATTTTAGCGAGTACAATCCGAACACCACGCGTCAGCCCGGTTCGGCCTACATTTCCGCCCCGAACCACTTCCGAGTCGCCACCGCTCCAATCGCAACACTTTCCGAGCCATCCTAGCCCGAACCCTTCGCCTAGCTAGGATTCTCCTTATAAATTCGCGTCACTTTCATTGTATCGTCATTCAGTAGTCATTCATTCTCGATATTCGTTTTACTGCGCACTCTGCAAGTTCATTCATAACACCTGGTATCAGAGCTACTTTCCTAGCCTACCCCGCTTTTTAGAGTGTAATACCCCTCGGGGGGGGGGGGGGGGGGGGGGGGGGGGGGGGGGGACGAGGAAGGATGCCTTGGGGTCCAGGAGTTGCGTAGGCCGGCCAAGAGAACTAGTTAGTTGCTCTTCGCGGCGTTGTTTTTACGGGCACTCCTTCGGCACCGCCAGATCCTTGCCTCGAACGGTCGCGATCGACCGTGACCTCCCTCCCCCCGGGCAACGGACAGCTGTAGCTGTCGCGACATTGAACGTGAGTTTTTTCCGCTGCGTCGCGACGATTTCGGAGTTATTTTCGTGTGGCAGCTGGCGTCAGCGGATCTGCGTCGGCACCTGCACGAAATTTTCGGAGTCGTCGTCCTGTGCGGCAGTTGGCGTGGTTGTCAACGTGCACGCGAGAATTTCGGAAGAAGCTACTGATGAAGAAAAAAAACAAGGGGCAACTGTACGGACTCGCCAGGCGCTAAAGTAATTGCGTCGGGAAAAGTCCGTGACGAGGAGAGACGCCACGACGACTGCCCGACTATTGCGGGAGTCAACTGCCGTCCCGCCCGACCGTTTAAGTGCAGCGGCTTTTACTGCATGGCGGGCGCGTCACCGACGATTTCGGCAGGAGCGCATGTGGACAGACGGGACTTCAGACCCGCCGACACTTACGGGCTGCAACGAAAAACGGCGTGGCTAAACCGCATTTAAGAAGAAGTGGGGTGCAGGCTGCGAGGGGAATTCGAGACTGTACACCTCGGAAAGACCTCGCACGACACTGCACACCTGGTGCTGTTGACAACTGTTCAAGCTTTTGCGAGAGCGGATTCCCCGTACGGAAGCTGTTTTCGAGGACAGTCTTAGCGGCCCACGGTTTTAAACGGCGTCCACGTACTATTCCGCCATTTTCGGAGGAGTGTGGTGCAGGATTCCGGGTCATCCGGGAAGAAACTACCCAACGGCTAAGCGGGGGTTGGAGAACGATGAAGGGCGCAGGTTAAAAGCCGGTGGAAACGACCTGCCGCCCTCCGTCGCCCGAACCTCACCATCCCCACCAAGTCTTGGTTCCGGCTCATGCAGCCGACCTGACCTGGCCGAATAACGGGGGTGAACACGTGCCTACCCTGTGCTGGTTAAAGGCACCTGGTTTGGTGCTCGTTCGACAGCTGTACGAAAATACCAAAAAAAGGGGATTTCGCGGCACTGTTCTACTCCGACAAAAGCGGGCTGGGTGAACGGCACGCGAAAAAGTCGGAAAGCTGCGACGAAAAAAAGCGGTGCAATCTACGGTTTCCTCCTGACCCAAGCGTCTACTTGGATTGACGGCTCAGCGGTGAAGTTGGGACCCGGTACCAGCGGAGCTACTTGGCGTGATAGGCGCGGTGGGCTGCAAAGCGGTTGGGTGCGAGCTTTTTAAATAAAACTGCCCCGACTCCGATAGCATTTGCGCCTGCGCCGTAGCCGGATTATCGCGCGGGCATCATCGACAATACCCCATCCGACAAAAGCGGACGCTGGGTGAACGGCGGGACGCGAAATTGTCGGGGGATGAAGACAAAAAAAAATGTTGATGGAGGGAAAGTTGTGGGTGATCCAGCAGATCACTTGAGTGAGAGGTTGAGAACGTGCACCACTCCACCGCGAATTTCGGAGTCTATTCGGTAGACACCTGAAAGGGTTTGATATTTTTACATGGAGGCGCGGCGAGGGGTGCATCGCCAAGGATACCTGGGATTCGTTAAGTGGCTTCGACGGGTATGAAGATGGGTGAACATCGGAGTACCAGGGTTAACGGCGGAAACGTCGGGGCGACACAGCGGAAAATAAC